TGACTTTGGGGGTGTGGGACATAGCCAATTGACATTTCTCTGGGAGGGCTATAATGAGCTCTTAAATGTCAGCTCCCATATTATAATATTTATATTGTCACATACTGCAGGCGATGAGTTATATTTGCATGTGATGTTTCATTTCAAATCTTTATTTTTTTAGTTGTAAGACGTATTACTTTAACCTTCTATTTAATATGTACCTCCTCATTCTAGTAATAAATATATTAACAAGTGCACCAAACTTGTCTTAAAAGAATTTGTAGTAATAATTATTTTATTCACTTCAAACACTAAAATAAAATGGCAACAGAACCAGCATTGCTAACAGCAATTCGCCGCTTGCAAAGTCCTATACCTCAATATATATTAGGAACATTACCAGCTATAACAATAATGGGAGCAACTCCGCATAGTAGTTTATGTGCGAAGCTAATAAACTTATGTCATTCGATTTTCGATTTGGAACACTAGTGTAAGCCTTTTTACGCGTTACTAAATTTCTTACTCTACATATATATACTGTATCATTACTTAACTTATACCAACTATCAAGCCATATTTCTTGTTTAATCTGCGCGTAATCATTTAAAGGATACAGTATTCTTTGAACAAGATATTCTTGCACTTTTTTGAGTGATTAATAATATTGCTGAAACAAAGAATTGGTGTCTTACATGTCATTAATATGATGCTTTAACTGAATGGTTATTTTTGCTGAGCAACTTGTAATGAATAAAACATGTGATATTAATTGATATTCTAATTAAATCCCAATTATTATAAATATAGGTCCTGACGCGTTAATTCGATGTAAAACATTAAACTGCCTTATTACGTGTCACATATATCTTATTTTACATATATATTAACTTTTACTAACCGGTCCAATCCTTTCGCATAATTTAGCCCCACTTTGTTTAATATTCTTACTTAATTTAAAAGTGATACTTACTTTAGAAGCACCTCTGGCACTGTGTGAAGACCTTACCTGTGAAGTAGAAAGTAGGCGTGTACATGTAGGAAACGTGCAATAACCCGAAAGCGGCATTTAACGAAGCACCGGGCTGGTAATACAGTATAGTAATATACGCAAAAGGTATAAATAGCATTGCAAGGGTACACCAACATTAAACACCAACCAATTCGGATGAAAGCTGGAAGTAATCTTGTATTACGACACCTGTTGGAAGTAACATATGTTACGAAATACAACCCATACCTTACCAACACACGGAAGTTTCCATTAATGCATAGTGCATAGCACGAAACCATGATTGAACATATAAGTACTAGTTTAGTACCAGTCCTGGAAGACCTTGGGCTTACCCCAAGCTGATGAATTGAGAACTATGGGACGGGTAATGAATGGGGAGTTGACAGGAACCCAACCCATAGAGGTATACGGTGCGATTAGTCGACACCATACAGGAAGTAAACCGTGAGGATTACGAATGCCCCTAGAAATATCTAGCCACCTATTTGGAAGTACCTTGGTAGGTAATGTGGGTGATGCGGAGAATACATAATAGGAATAGGTTGACACACAAAAATCCTGGCCTATATAGTTGTGGGGTTAATAGTCTAGGTTAAGTTTACCTTGGGGATAAATTAGTCCTAGCGCTAGGTCGCATATTTAAGTTAGTAATTGTATATTATGTAATATTCATGTACTGATATATATAATAATTAATAAAGATATAAGACCAAGAGGTCGCTTAAAAAAAAAAGTGATATAGACAAAAAATAAGATATATGTGACACGTAATAAGGCAGTTTAATGTTTTACATCGA